AACTTCAGTTGTAGATAATGCCACAACAGATTGAACAATAGACTTCCAACAAATAGGCCCTCCACCAAGAGTAAAGACATACCCTGTCGTAGATCTTCTATTATCCAAGTCACATGCATAGTCTGAATCCACATATCCTACAACCAAAGGATTATCCCGCTGACTACAAAAAACAATTACATATCCCACAGTGCCCTTTAAGTACCTAAAGATCCACTTGACCGTTTCCCAATGTTGCTTACCAGGTTTAGACATGTACTTACAAACTTGACTAACAACATGAGCTAAATCAGGATGAGTACATACCATTGCATACATCAAGTAGCCAACAACATTAGAATACGAAACTTTTTCAATATCTTCAACTTTCTTATCTGTCTTAGGACACTGTTCTGATGAGAGCTTAAAGTGATTCGCTAATGGAGTGCTCACTGGTTTTACGCTGCTCATCGCAAACTTTTCTAGCATTTTCTCAACATAACCCCATTAAGATAGCCACAGTTTCCTTGAGTCTCTGTCCCTGTAAATTTCCATTCTAAGAATTTTCTTTGCAGTACCTAAATCTTTCATATCAAATTCTTGACTCAATAAAGTTTTCAAACTGATAACATCATCCATGTTCTTCGCAACAATTAACATATCATCAACATACAGTAACCGAAAAATAAAAGAAACATTATCAAGGCTCTTAACATAGACACAACAATCATACTCATATCGCTTGTAGCCAATCTTGATCATATAAGAGTCAAACCGTTTGTATCATTGTCTTGGAGACTGTTTCAACCTGTACAAAGATTTCTTCAATCTACAAACTAAATGCTCGTTTCCAGGTTGAGTGAAACCTTCAGGTTTCTGCATGTAGATCTGCTCCTCTAAATCACCATGCAAAAAAGCAGTTTTAACATCCATATGCTCTAAATGCAAATCCCAACTAGCCACCAATGCAAGTACTACTCGGATTGAAGTGTGCCTGACCACAGGAGAAAAATTATCATCATAATCAACTCATTTCTGCTGTGAGAAACCCTTTGCTACCAAACGAGCCTTGAACTTATCCCCCTCTTTTTCTATTACTGCTGGTTTCTTCTTATACACCCATTTACAACCAATAGGCTTCTTACCCTCATGAAGGCGAACTAACTCTCATGTGCGATTGTGATTCAAAAACTACATCTCTTCAATCATGGCAGCCATTCACTTGTCGTTTTCCTGACTAGTAACAACATCATGAAAAGTAATTGGATCATCACTGCTAACAGTAAGTGCAAAAGAGACAAAGTCTTCAAAACACAATCTGTTCAGAGGCTTTATATTCGTCCGTCTCACCCTTTCTCTGCGAGACTATAATCCTGCAAATTATCCGTAGCGGAACCACCAGAAGTCAGTTGAGAAGTTTCTGTTTTCTCAACTGGAAACTGCTCGAAATCCACCACTGGCGTGTCTTTCTTCTGCTGCAACATGAGTTGTTCATAAAAAATAACATCTCTACTGATCAAAATTTTCTTCGCAACTGGATTCCATAACTTGAATCCTTTGACACCTTTCTTGTAACCCGAAAAAAGGCACTCATTCAATTTTGCATTAAGTTTAGATCTCTCATCAACATGTACATGCACATAAGCAGAATAACAAAAAATCCGTAAGTGATCAAAAGTAACATCATGACCAGTCCATACCTCTTCTTTAACTTTCCCAGCCAATGATGCCCTTGGCGATCTATTGATAAGATAGCACGACATGTTAACAACCTCAGACCAGAAGTGTTTGGGAAAGCCCGTATTCAACCGCAAACATCTTGCTCTTTCATTCAACGACCTATTCATCCGTTCCGCAACACCATTCTGTTGTGGTGTCTTGCGCACTGTAAAATGCCTCTTAATCCCATGCTCCTTACATAAGTGTAGAAATTGTGAATCTGTGTACTCCGTACCATTGTCAGACCACAAACACTTGATATTTCATCTTGTTTGGTTTTCTACCTCAGCTTTCCATAGCTTGAAATTCTAAAAAAACGTCAGACCTCTATTTTAAAAAATACACCCAAACTTTCCACCCAAAGACGATATTGTGGAAGGCCCCCATACATCAGAATGCACATAATCAAGAATCCCTTCAGTTGTGTTCTTCGCAGTCTTGACACGAACTTTAGTCTGTTTACCAATAACACAATACTTACAAAAATCGAGCTTACAGCTTTTAACACCATGCAACAGATTTCTTTTATGTAATTCAGTCATACCAAGTTCACTAAGATGAGTAAGACGCATATGACACAGTTTGGTAGTATCATCACTTGACTCAACAGAATGAACTCCACCAATAACGGTACTCCCTAACAATTTGTAAATATTCCCTGTATTCATCTTTCCTTTCATCACAGTCAAAGCTTCTTTAACAATCCGAATGGTCTCCCTATCCTCATCAACCTTAGGGATAAAACCATTCATGTGCAAAGTGCCCAAAGAAATCAAATTCTTCTTCAAATCTGGGATATGTCGAACACCACTCAACGTCTAAACAGAGCCATCATACATATTAATTATGGCATCACCAATACCAACAATATTGCAATATCGATCATCACCCAAATAAACAGAATCAGAATTAACCGACCTGTATGTCGAAAATCATTCCCTATTTGGCGTGATGTGATAAGATCATCCAGAATCAATAATCCAAACATCCATCAATTGAGTCATTGAAATAGAGAGCATATCACCCTCACTATAATCAGAATTGTCATCATCGACCACATTCACAGACATGGATGAGTCATCACGCTTCTCACCAGTCTGCTTTTTCAACTTCGGACAATCTCGCTTCATATGTCTCGCCTCCTCGCACTTGTAACAGTGAATTATCTTCTTTTCCCTAGATTTGGATCTAAAATTCCACTTCTCAGACCCTGTCTTCTCTGGCTTCCGTCCACGGTCTCGATTACCCTTGACATATAAGCTATCAACTTGAGAGTTTTCCCCTATATTCTGCTTCCGCTGGTTGTGAGCCAACAAGGCTGCAGTAATCTCTTCAACTTTGATAGTATCTTTCCCATATGTAACAGTAGTCACCATATGTTCGTAAGAGAGAGGCAACGAACACAACAGAATCATCGTTTTGTCTTCATCCTCAATTTTCACATAAAGCTGAGCCAAATCAGAAACGATTTGATTGAAGACATTCACGTGTTGCGCCAAATCATGATCGTCATGCATCTTCAGCCCATACAGACGTTGCTTTAGATATAGTTTAGTCGTTAAGGATTTGGACATAAATTGACTTTCCAACTTTTTTCAAATTTCATCTGGAGACGACAGATGCATAACGTGATACATGACCTCGTCCGCCAAACATAATCGTATGGTTCCTGCCGCTCGGTGCTATAATTCTTCCCAATCTTCCTCCACCATCGACGCCGTCTTTGTAGGTCGCAAAGCCTTCAGGATCCCTTGTTATGCCAACAGATCTTTCACCCTTATTTGCCAAAATCCGAAGTTACCCTGACCATCGAATTTTGTAACTTCGAATTTGGCTCCTGACATCTGATACCAATTGTTTAATAATCGGGTAAAGAAAACATAAAGAACATAAGAATTTTAACGAGGTTCAACAATGTGCTTACGTCATCGGTGCCTTAGGCAGCGCTATAATTTTTATTCAATTCAATGTCTCATATGTTTATGTTACATCTCCTTTTATAATAAATAAACCATGGTACATATTTACAAAAATAACCATGTACCATACCGCGGGACCGCAACACCCGCACCCCCAACCCACATAATCGTAACCCCCTCTACGAGACTTTCCTTTACCGGTATATTTATGAGCCATACTTAACACTTCCAGAGCCAATACTCCACTGTCATATCCTCTGTACAAATTCCCTATTTTCATACCATGTTCTTGGTTTTTTCTTGAATTTTTCAGTTTTAAATAGGAATCTTTGCCCTTGTGATACGCTTTTCTCTGTTATTGTGGTACATTTCTTATGACTTTTGGTATGTTTTTCGCATACATGTGCAATCGTATTGGTGCTCGTACAATTATCCTCGCGTATTGCCATTTTGCATACCTCTTTAGTTCGCTCACCACTTCTTTATCACTTCGTAAAGCGTCTCATTCAACAGAAACAATAAATTTTATGAAGATTACTGGATTCTTTTGATGGTGTACGTCATTTTCAATGGGATGTCATTTTTCTTATCTTTTGGTTAATATTTTTTGTTTATGTAGGATTTTTTTATTGTATTGTCTCCAGTTTTCTCTTTAAGTGCATTATATTTTTGATTTCTTCTACTATTTTTATTAATGGAATCTAGTAACCATTGTTCAAAAATTATCCACTCAAGTCTATTTGAAGCCTTTGAAAGTTCCATATCCTAAAAACCACTTCTATTTCTTATAATTATTATTTTTACGATAATATCATTTACTTTTAATTATTATTAAATTGTACTTAATTATTATTTCTAAGTTTACTAACTACTCATTCATCTCATTTTGATAGCATCTTCAAAAAATTTTAAAAAGGAAAATATCAGCTTCAAATCACTTAAAAAGAATTAATCTATTATCTATTGGACTATTTATATTATCTTCAAAATATTATCCCACAAATAATTAAATATATTATAAAAACAATATTCTAATATGTGAATGAGTTATGGATATTTATTATATAATCAATAAATAATTAGAATTTAAGATTTAAAGTCAAACCATTTTATATAATATTTAAATGATTAAATTTTAAAGATTTAAATACAATAATCTAGCAGACCGCTGAGTCAGGAAGAGTAATGCATTTAACACGTTTTGCTAATTGAATAAAAATGTAATGCATATCCAACACCAAGAGTGATGCACTCCCTACCCTAATTCCATCGTTATCAATTAAAAAAATGTGGGCGGCCAGAAGATGTCAGGTTATTCAGACATGGCAAGATGCCAAGTCATACTTCACTTGAGCCAAATGGCGGTGTCATTTGCTGGATCACCTTCCAACAAAACCTTACTTTCCAATGTCAAAGCAAAAGATCCCATTCCCAGCTACAAGTCCACCAACTTTCACAGCTCCTTTTTACGTGTCTTCCTCCATGTCAAACCCTACCTTTGATTCGTTGACCCTTCCTCCTCGTCCCACTATATATATACCCAAACGCAGCCTTTACATTCTTCAAATCTCAACATTCAATACTACTACAGCAAACTAATTAAGCTACTTCAAGTTCCGATGGGAAACGCCTCATCCAGCGGTGACAAATTTGCCAAGGTTATTGACGCTCAGGGGAAGCCGAGGAAAGTTAAGCTTCCGGCAAAGGCAGCGGAGATTATGCTTGAGGAACCTGGTCATATCATATGTGGCGTGGAAGAGTTGAAACGAGCTCGTCGCGTGGTTGCTATGCGAGCTGACGATGAACTTTTGGGGTGTAAAGTTTACGTTTTGGTTCCTATAGGGAGGATTCATTGCAGGGTTACAGATGCGGATATGGTTATCATAAAAGCAGCTTGTTGTGGTCGAAAGAAGATGAGAGGTGCTAAGGTCTTACCCGATGTGATGGTGAGCGAGGAAGAGAAATATACAAATGAGATTCCTACTGTTTCTGGACACCGATTTGGGAATTGCAGGCCCTGGATGCCTGTGTTGGAACCCATTCCTGAAGTGCTCTGTTAATCTTTTTCTCATGATTTTTGTAGGGTTTAATTATCGCAAATGGATGGGGTTTTCTCATTTCCTTGAATTAATTGTTGAAAAATGGGATGTGTATCAGTAGGAAGGACTGTATACTTGAACATAAGGGTTTGTGCTACAAATCTTTTCACCACTTCTTTCTTTCTGCACATAATTGAAGAACTAATGCTTTACTAATTCCAGTTTCACAACCAAATAAAAGAGCATTGCATGTTATTGGTTAAGATGTCACCGTCCAATAATCTTAAACTTGAAGCCATCACAGCAAAGATCTGAATCTAAAAAGAATCCATTTTTGAGCTACACATGTGATGGGAGCCATAGAATCTTCACCTATTCCATTCAATCACATTGCGTCTTATGTTCATGGGAGACTATAGTCTTGATGTGACCCTTAATGCTGTTTGCCAAATATCCACAAACACTCTTTCCCAAAATGAAAATGGCTTTTTGCCACTGACCCTTAATCCCGTAACCTGTTTGCTTGTTACCCCAAAGATGCAACGGCTAACTTCTCGTTCTGCAAGGTTTTGGAGCCGATATATGGTAGAGTGAAGGACCACCTTCTAGCAAGATTGACACTGCAGGAGAAGATTAGGTTGCTGGTGAAACAATGCTGCAGCATTCCACGGCTGGGGATCGAAGGCTACGAATGCTGGTATGAGGCTCTTCACGTAGTCTCCAATGTAGGCCCTGGAACCAAGTTTGATGGTGCAGCCGGACTCACTTAAGGGAGCCTCACTTCAATGCCAAGGTAAGCCAACAGAACATTAATCATACATTCAATGTACTATTTCATGATGTGTGTAAAGGATGGTCATGTAGCCAGTGTTATGTGTTCTTATAATCAAGTCAACGGTGTCCTTACTTGCGTTGACCCTAGTCTCCTACGGAAGATTGTACGAGGTCAATGAATGCTCAACGGGTAAGTTCTAACATCATTATCAGATAGATATATTCCCGAAATTCATTATGGTCTGTTGATAATCGTTGGATGTTGGTAAATCATGGTCTTTCATTGCCTTTATCGCTCTGACGTGACCGTACCGTCACTGTCATCGAACCAAACTCTATTGTGAAATGGGGATGGACACAAAATTTTATGTTATGGGCGAACTTGAGTTTATAAAATTTTAGGGGGACGAAAACTAATTTTCAATGAAAAATACATAGATAAAATCTAAAATATATGGTAATTTTAAATTTGTAGTGACAACCACCCCACCCGCCCCGCCTAGCCTAATTCCATCCTTGATGTTAATGCTGCCATGATTGGAAACTATTTTGGTCAATTCTAATCAAAATGATTTTTTCTTTAAACTTTTTAATTCTCTTCTGTTGGTTAGTCGGTTTTCTTCTTTATGGACCATTAGGTGTTGCATGTGGATACACATCTCCTTTGCATGGAATAGGAAATTAAGCAAAGACAATTCACCAGATGGGATATGCAGATGTAGCTTGAGCTGATGACAAATTATTGAGTGGGGCAATCGATGCTTCTCAGCAATCGAATGCAACGGTTCTAGTTATGGTTCTATACCAATTAATTAAAGCAAAATTCAACGATAAGACAAGGTTGATTTAGCCAGGGCGCCAACAAGATCTAGTTTCCAATGTAACCATGGCTTCCTAGAGTCCAATTGTACCAGTTTTGATGGCCGGTGGGCCTATCGATGTGTCTTATGCTATGAATGACCCACGTATTGCAGCCATTGAATGGGTCGGATACTCCAGACAAGCTCGCGGAGCTACCATAGCTGATGTACTACATTGAACAACCAATCCAGAGGGCAAGTTGCCAATGACATGTACCCACAAGTTTATGTTTGAAATTTTCCAATGACAAACATGGCCATGCGTTCAAGCCCAAACAAAAATTACCTTATAAGAACCTATAGGTTCTACAAAGGACCAGTAGTGTATCCCTTCGATTACGGATTAAGTTACACCTACTTCGTTAAATCATTGCTGGTGCACAGTTGTGGCACTCACTTTAGATGACCACCATAATTATTAATGGCGATATCGTGAAGAAGACATTAATGTCTCATCACTCATGAGCTGTGTAACATCCTCAATATCGGGTTAGTGACTAAATTATAAAGTCTCAGAATTTGGTGATTAAAATAGAATGATTGAATAGTATAAAGATTTATTTGTAAATTATTGTATAGGATTGAATTGAAAGGAAGAAGGGATGGAAGGGCAAAGGGGTCATTTACAAGGAAATAAGTAAAGAAGGGTTATATATTAATCCATGTGGGTTGAAGAGGGAAAATACAAAGGCTTCTAGAGTTCTCTTCTTCTTCTTTCTTCCTTGTGCGTGTGAAGCAAAACAAAGGTGAGTTTTCTGAGTACTGAGTTTCTAGTTAAATTTAATATTGGTTTTTGATTATTAGATGATAACTAAGCTTAAGGAAAGCTTAAGTTATCTTAAAATCAAAGGATGTTGGAGTTAGGAGAGATTAAAGATTAGAGGTTCTTGAATGAAATCTTGAAATAGAGTTCATATCTAGAATTGGAAGTTAAATTTGACTTGTCATCAATCTAGTTAAGACATACTAATTGTTAGAAGTGGAATTAAATCATGTTTCAAAGTTGGTATAATTATTGAATTTCATGAGGATGATAGGATTTTGAGGTTTAAGATGAAATAAATAAGTATAGATTGGTTTAAGTATGTGTACTGAAGTTCAGAATATAAAAGGGGATGAAACATGAAGGATTTAAGCTAAAATGGATGAGTTTTTGGGTTCAAGAAGTGAATTATGGGCAAAGTGAATCAGTACACATTCAATGTGTACCTGTGTACCGATGCATCAAGGGTAAAATCTCAGAAATTGTTCAAGGTGTATCGATGCACATAAAGTGTATCGATGCACTCCTTTAAAATAAAAATATTGAATGTCATAAGTGTATCGATGCACAAGTAGTGCATCGATACACCCCCTTAAGATTAAAATATCGAAGGTGATTTGTGTACCGATACACAGATAGTGCATCGATGCACACGTTATGGAATGCATCGATACACTGTAGAGTGCATCGATGCATACCTTCATTAAAAGATGAAAATAGCTTTCTTTTTAGCCTAAGGAGTAATAATTAAGAATATATCAATTAGTATACTGATATGTATCAATGTATTATTATGTAGATATAGAACATAATCTTGTTCCGGAACAATTGAAGGATTAGAATCGAATCAAAGCAAGACTAAGGTGAGTGCATTTTATATTTAAAGTGTATAGAGATAAGACTTGTGATAAGTCTATCTCTGATAGTTGAATTCATGATTCTATACTCATGTACATGCATACATATATTATTGTTATAGTGATTGCATGCATAATTCATTATGTGTTAATATGATATTAACTGAACGAATGTCATTGCCAGAGAATACAATCCAGGTATATGAAATAATGGAAATGATTATATGTGTTTATATGAAAAGTGATGAAAGAGATATGAAATGAGAAATGTATTCATATTTAAGCCCATGTTATATGATATGAGAGCTGTAGGTATAGTTGGCATGCCAAGAGTCGAGGGTTATAGTGGCCATTCGGGACATATCCAATGGTCATTCGGGATGTAGTGGTCCTTCGGGACAAATATTCAGTGCCCTTGAGGGAATTATACCAGCTGTGGTGACAGCATAGTGCACAACCTTTATGTACTAAATACCTTTGTTCTCAATAATGTACATGGGAAAATGAAAAAAAAATTAAAGTGAAAGTGGCACAAGAAAGTGAGTGTTATATGTGCATGAAATGATTATATATGTTTAGTGTAATAGATACATGCATATTGAAATATCATGATCAAATGGTAAGAATGCATATCCATGAATATATTGTTACATGTTTATTTATTGTCTCACTAAGTCTATGACTTAGCGTGTAAGTGATTTACACGTAGGTACTAAGAAACAAGAAGAGCAGGAATAGAAGTGGCAAAGACAACATCACTATTAATAGATCAGATCAGAAGTAATCGACAAAGTAGGTATTTTAGTTGTGTATAGAGTGTTGGCATGTAATAAGTTGTTAATTACGAATGCTCTGATCGATTTTGTATTTGTGGTCTCTTTTATGTAAATTAACGTATTTTGTTTTAATGAAAGTTTAAAACTTCCCTGTTTTTCTTTAAGTGTCAAAGTTTGAAAAGTCAATGTGACACCTCGGACTCATATTCGGGTCGGATACTGGTTTAGGGTGTTACATTTAATGGTATCAGAGCTACGGTTTAGTCGATTCTCGGCATAAACTAAAGTCTAAAGTGTCTTATAATATATATATGCCAAAAA